ACATGATTGCATACTTATTTTTGTTTCTCATCAAAAAAAAGACACAACGATATCTTGTGGGTCTTTAAAATTGTTTTTCATCTCATAGTGGTATAAGGACTTTCAGTTTCTTCATTTTGTTAATTTCATTGCAGCTTGTGGTTTCATGAAGTTTTTGGAAAATTAATGCTTTGCCAACTGCAATGGTTCATGTTATTTTGATGTTCCTCTACCCTGTTCTGCTGTAATTTAGAAGAAAATGCAAAAAATGAAGATGATAAGGAAGAGCAAGACCGGCTCTGAAAGCCCAAAGGAGGTGGCTGTGTGTAAGGTGCCTGGTGTCAAGGCCACCTGTAGGCCATGGACTCCTCAAGAACGCAGGTGCCTGACCCTGGCTTTGTACCCGCAGTGCTAGCATGGGCCTGGCACTCAACATGTGCTTGTGGACTAGTGAAAACCAGGCCAGTGAAAAGGAATTTATATAGGAATCAATAGTGGCCTTCACTCTCAGTTCTCATTAGATATTAAGACTAGAATTTATAGTCCCTGATCTTATATTTTCTCTGACTTGCCAGTCACAAATCAATGAGTCAAGAAAACAAAATATCCGTAAGAATTTAAGTAAACAGGGCCCGGCACGGTGGCACAAGTGGTTAAAGGTCCTCGCCTTGCACGCCCGGGATCCCATATGGGCACCGGTTCTAATCCCGGCAGCCCCGCTTCCCTTCCAGCTCCCTGCCTGTGGCCTGGGAAAGCAGTGGAGGACGGCCCAAAGCTTTGGGAACCTGCACCCGCATGGGAGACCCGGAAGAGGCTCCTGGCTTCGGATCGGCATAGCATTGGCCGTTGCGCTCACTTGGGGAGTGAATCATCGGACAGAAGATCTTCCTCTCTGTCTCTCCTCTCTGTATATCCGCCTTTCCAATAAAAAAAATAATAACAATAAAAATAAATCTTTAAAAAAAAAAAGAAGAATTTAAGTAAACATTGAGATCAGTGATAGATTTCTTTGGAATTGTAGTCCTGATTTCATTCCAGTGTTCTGGCTTCACTTTGTTTAGGCTGTGAATGGGCTCTATGATGTGATGTGATTACACCAGAGGAAGGACTCCTTGTCTGCCAAGCTGGCACTCATCAATTTCTGGTCATCGGTGGTTTAGGAGTTCTGATTAGACTCCCCCCGACTGCTGTACCATATGACTTTGGGATAGTCCTCAGGCCAGTGTTGGCTCAGTTTTCTCTTTCATGGATCAGAAATAACTACCTTGCAATGTTTTCTTCTAGAGAAGGAGCTTAAAAGGCTTTAAGTGGAAATCATCTCTGATTTAAATGCTGTAATTACTAATGTGGTAGAATCAATGATAGAATTGATGAATATGCAGCATTCTATTATTTGCTTTAAAATGTTTCTTCTGCATTTTCCTTAATGTTCATAAAAGCAGATTCTTTTTTTATTTTTGTTGTTACTTGAAGAAGCAATACTTGAGTTGAGAATTCCAAATTCATCATAATAAAGTAGAGAAAATTTTCAGTAGAAAACATATAGATTTTAATATCTGACACAACTCTGATTTACCAGATCTCTGTGACCCAGAAAAGTGACCCAACCTTTCTGAGGCTCAGGTCCTTTCATCACCATAAAAACAACATATTCATGCGCAGCAAGAGGTTACTTCAATGCCTGACCCCTAAAGCAGTTGTTAAAGGCATTTAGCCTACCAGTGAGTTTAGAGTCCTTAGGTTCAATGCCCAGCTCTGGCTCCTGACTCCAGATTCCTGATACTGTGGCCCCTGGGAGGCTGTGGTGCTGACTTAAGTCCTGAGGTTAGTGCCACCTGTATGGCAGACCTGAACTGCATTTTCAGCTCCTAGGTTCAGCCCAACCCAGGCCTGGCTCTTGTGGGCATAGTAGTTGGGAGCTCTGTCTGCCTCTCAACTATTCTGAAGGTTACATGAGTGCTTGGGAATATGCTTCTAACAGATTGAAAGTCCTAAATTTTAAAAAAATGTATGCCATTAAGATATTGATAGTTTAATAGAACTAAGAAGTGTCCTAATATAAAAGCATAAAATATCAGCCTATGCAAATGAAAATATGGCTTCCTAGTTGTGAAGAATAAAGTTATTAAAATATAATGTTAGAGACAGTTACGAAATATTTTCTAAGCTGCCATGAAGTTCTCTGATCTTTTTAAGTGACAAAGGAAGGAGGGCAGTAAGGGACACATCTACACGGTGCATTACAACAAAGTGTGAGCTATAGCAGGCACCCAATAAATGCTTGCAGAATAAATTCAGAGAATGTATGGACTTTTAAACCAGAGAGAGTTGCATGGACTTCCAACTTTTTATTGGAATGATGGATTTTACCTCTAAAAGTTGTTAGAGGATTGAAAGAGATAGGAAAAGTGCCTGATATATTCAGATGTGTTCATAGTGCTGTTCATATTTTTGTGAAGTTAGGTTCAATAGAAAACAAATAGTACCACAGGTGATTGGACTAGTAAACTGCTATATGTCTGTCAGTAGAGAGAGGGAAAGAGAGAGAAAGAGAGAGAGAGAAAGTGAAACTTTCACAAACCGCTGGCTGCCATTCTAGCAGAGTGGCCAAACTGGTCAGCAAGAGTCACCCTCGCTTCCAGGCTTTGTCAGGAAAGCTGCATTGCTTGTTCAGTTATCCTGCACATGGCTTTTCCAGCTCATGACCCTGGGTTGTAACTAATGAACTCCAGCTGTTCTGATTTTGCCTTCCAGCCCTTTCCGTTTAACCTCCCGTCTCCCCAGCTTCACATCCTTGGAGCTCTTACAGGGAAAATGGGACAGAGCCAAAGGTTGCAAATGAGGCCGCCTATCTTCTTAAGGGGAGAGGGCTCCAAGTTTCTACCTCTGGTGGAAAAAGAAACATTTCATTGTTGGAAACTGGATGCCTAACAACCTTCAATGTGTCAAAAATCCTTTTGTGGTTTTTAATATTACACAAGCAAAGCATTCGGCGAGGTAAGTCCATAAAACAAACCCTGAGAGGCCATAGTCGTGCATGAACGTAATTGTAAACACCTGTGATGGGCAGGCAGTTCCTGGGTAAATACGCAGTGAGTGCACAGCACAGCACAGCTCCAGCTTTCCTGACCCATGCTGGGAGCCATCTGTCAGGAACCTTTTGCCTGTTTTGCAAAACTGGCAAAAGGCTTCACTGTTACAGTCAAATGCTGATTGTGGGCAAAATCTGAATCAGGCCAGTTCAGCTAAGCAAACTGGGAGAATAAGGTGAAGCTGGACATGCAGACCCTCTCCTTTTGTGGGTGACCTGGGCTTCTCTATCACGTTCAGAAATACAATCCAGCTTAAACACACATCTCTTCCCAAATCTGATCATCCTTTCCAAGGGACCACTAATCAGTCCATTAGTAAATGTAACTTCCATTATGTGAAACACAGCCATGCCTTCCCCAAGAATGCACCTGCTCCTACCGGGATGAATCCTCTAGCTACATGCTCTGCTAGCCATGTGGTCCTTCTATTTAAATTACAAATGATGCATTTCCCAAGGGCTCTCAAAGACTTTTGAAAATGGCACCAAATTCAGTTATAAACTCGTTTTCGGAATTGCTTTTTCCATGTCTGTTTGTACAACCCATCCTTTTAAGCTCAGTCGAAAATCCACTGTCTCCATTAGCCACAATGAGACGAGCTCATTCTCATTTAGGGTCACAAGGTCTTTTATACACTTGAAACTTGAATCATCTTTTCTGCTAAGACTAAAAACAACACAGAACCAAAAATTTGAGTTTTTTCTCCCCAAATTTAACAACATACGGGAATGTCCTTGGTTCAGACTATGTGCTCAGTAAAGGAAGAAAAGTAAGGACATGGTCAAAAGAAGTAGAGAATAAGTTCAGGGAAATGTCATTTCTTTGTTTTGCTGGGCATAGTAGCAATTTTCTCATTCCAAATGGCCTATGTAAGGAAAAATTGATAAACTGAACTTTTTAAAAATATACATTTATTTTCATGTAATGCCCCCCAACAGCCAGAGCTGGACCAGGCTGAAGCCAGGAACCAGAAACTCCATCTGAGACTGCCACCTGGGTGGGAGAGACTTGAGCACTAGAGCCATCATTTGCCACCTCACAGGGTGTACTTCACCAGGAAACTGGAATTGAATGCAGAGCCAAGATCCACAGCAGGTCACTCCGATGTAGTATACAGGGTCCCCAAAACAGCATCTTAACTGCTAAGCCACATTCCTACACCAACTGTGTTTTTGGTGATTTATTTTTTGCTATTTTGGCTTCTTGATTTTTATAATAGTATGGAATATTCTAAGTTACTAGAAATAATGATAGTGATTGTCCTCAAGAGGGGAAAGAATGGAATAATTGCTAACATTTATTGAACTCTGATAATGGACTATGTGTAATTGCTTTAAATGTAGTCTCAATCCTCATAACAGCTCTATGAAATAGATACCAATATTATCCTCTTTCTGAAATAAACCATATTTCAGATAGGAAAAGTGCCCAACATCACACATGAGCCAGATATCCCTACGTCACGAACCTAAGCCCATCTGACACAGGATCGTCACCCACTTTCTCTTCTGTCCTGGGTATAGCAAGGACAGAGCCCAGCGCTAAAATTCCCATGGCACTACTGCCTGAGGAGTCGTTTGAGTTTTGCTGAAACAATCTTCAGGCAAACAGGCCACTAACAACTATGATTTTTTTCCCCCCTCTTCTCTAAGTATTTTCCGGGTTATAAAGATATAACACTAGCATTAAACACATGGAAAGTATTTAGTAAATGCTCACTGAGTTCCTAGTTTTGGTTAAATGATATAACAGTTTTCAAAATGAGTTTCCTTATGAATACTGAAATTATAATGTAAGTTCTCTTGGGAAACTGGTATGGGCGATAAAATTGTAATTATTCACTTACTTGTAGAGCTGTCAAAAACTAGACTCTGAGTACATAGATGTGATGCAAAACAGATCTCTGGGGTTCATTTCTGCTGGTCTTACCTTCCCTGATGGCAGTGAAAGGGACTCCTTCCTCGGTGTTCATGCTGATGACTTTCAAAGCCACCAGGTGTCCATTGATCCTAGAAGACAGGGAGGTGGTCACACACAGAGATGGCTCAAGCAGGGATTTATACCAAGAATGATTTAACAAAAGGCATTTTCCTTCCAAATATATTCCATTTTGTGAATATATATATATTTCAAAAACTTTTTTTCTCTTTATGAAAGTCATGTGTTCATTACAGAAATGTCAAGAACATAGAGAAGCACAGAGTGATTCCCCCACCAAAACCACCCCTGGATCCTGGTGTGCACTGATCCTTTTTGACTCTTATCCACACATCCTTGTCATGCAAATGACTTACTGTAAATATTTCCCAATAGTCTTCCTGCTTGTACACTTGAACTCCTACTGTATACTCCCAACAGAGAAACTAGGACACTCTTTAAATATATACATGCACATAAATAGGATATGCATATACATATACATTTATAACAAAAAGAAAAGGAGAGAGACAGAGGCAGGGAGAAAGATCCCATCTGCTGGTTCTCTCATCAAAACCTTCAATGGCTGGGACTAGGTCAGGGCTGATGGAGGGAGCCAAGAATATAGTTCACCTACAAGGGTGGCAGGAATCTAGTCACTTGAACCATGATGTTTGCTGTCCAGGGTACACATTAGCAGGAAACTGGAGTCAGGAGCTGGAGCTGGGTATTGAACATAGATATTCCAGCATAGCATGCAAGCATCATAATGATCAGGCCAAATGCCCATCCAGGCCTCCATTTAAATGAAAGTCAACACAAACCAATTCTCTGTTCACAACTCACCATTCCTCTCCTTCTCACTTAGAATTAAAGTCAGATTCCCCCACTGGCCTCATCGGTGCTAGCTGACCTGTTCAGACCACGCTCTCTTCGCCTCTTCTCTCCTCTTATTTAGCATTTTATTTATGATGTAACCAAAGTTCTAAAAATAGAGAAGACTTTAATGCAAGTCCAAATCTGTCTTTAGGAGAGTGAAATTCATATTACATTTTTAGTAACCCATTTTCCTCGTAGCATTCATCTTTATACAGATTGATATTTAATAATGATACCATATTTCATATCATAAATGTACTACAATGTGTTTAGGCATTCCAAACTGTCCTGACCTCTACTGGGAGCCTGACACCGGACTGACATAGTGCTCGTCATCTTTCTCTACTGTCATGCTTCCCCTTCCATTTTATACCTTTAGAGGAGTAACACAGGTATATCTACCTCCGGCTGGGTATATCATATACATTTAATCTTTAGACTTCTTTTCCATCCTTCCCATTAACTAATTTCTTGAACTGCTTATTTATATCAGTGTGTAAAAAAGGTTATGTTAGGGCCGGTGCGATGGTGTAGTGGTTAAGTGCCTTGCATGCACCGGGATCCCATATGGGTGTGGGTTCTAATCCCAGTGGCCCCACTTTCCATCCATCCCTTCCTGTGACCTGGGAAAGCAGTCGAGGATGGCCCAAAGCCTTGGGACCCTGCACCCACATGGGAGACCCAGAAGAGTTCCTGGCTCCTGGCTTCGGATTGGCTCAGCTCCAGCCACTGCAGCCGCTTTGGGAGTGAACCATTGGACGGAAGATCTTCCTCTCTCTCTCCTCCTCTCTGTATATCCGCCTTCCCAATAAAAATAAATAAATCTTTAAAAAAAAAGGTTTTGTTTTAAGATTTATTTATTTTTATTGGAAATTCAGATTTACAGAGAGAGGGAGGAACAAAGAGGAAGCTCTTCCATCCACTAGTTCATTCCCTAAATGGCTGCAATGGTCAGAGCTGAGCTGATCCAAAGCCAGAAGCCAGGAGCCAGGAGCTTCTCTGAGTCTCCCACATGGATGCAGGACCGCAAGGCTTGGGCCCACCCACTACTGCTTTCCAAGGCCACAAGTGGGAAGCTAGCTGGGAAGAGGAGCAGCCAGAACACAAACCAGTGACCATGCCAGATCCTGGCACATGCAAGGTAAGGATTTAGCCACTGGGCTATTGTGCTGGGCCCAAAAACTTTTTTGTTTTCATTTAATTGAAGGGTAGCATTAGAGACATGGGAAGAAGAGAGAGGGAGAGAAAGAGAGAGATAAAGAGAAAAAGAGATCAATCTTCCATCCACTGGCTCACTCCTTAAGTGGCTAGGACTGGAAGCAGCCAAAGCCAGGAAACTGGAGTCTTCTCTGGGTCTCTCATGTGGCTACAGGGCCCAAGCACTTGGGCTGCTCTTCTGCTCTTTTTCCCAGGTGCATTAGCAGAGCTGAATCAGAAGTGAAGTAGCCTAGTCTTGAACTGCTGCCCACATAGCCTGCTGGGGTGTGATGTGACCTGGGTTTATTCTGTTTCTGCAGGTTCACCCTTTGGAAGCTCTTGAGGTTGGCTCCTGTGTCCCTGTGGTAACCAATCAGTGTGGCTGTGTTTTTTGCTTTATTCTCCATTGTGCATGTTTGCATGTGTGTGTGTGTGTGCATGTCTTGATCTATTAATAGAGAAAAACAATGCTCATTTTAAAATTTGTTTTATTTGTAGAGCTGAATTTCTGTGAGTTTCTCAGTCTTTCATATTTTATTTATGATTTGCTTATTTGCCTACTTTGCTCTTGAAATATTTGCATATGCTTTTCACTAATTGCTTTTGTTGTCTTATGTTCTGAAATTTTGAGCTTCAATTTTTTTGAGATTTTTTCATTGAAAAGGCATATTTACTGAGAGAAGGAGAGACAGAGAGAAAGATATTCCATTCACTGGCTTACTCCCCAAATGGCTGCAATGGTCAGAGCTGACTGATCCAAGGCCAGAAGCCAGGAGCTTCCTCTGGGTCTCCCATGTGGATGCAGACTCTCAAGGCTTTGTGTTGTCCTCGACTGCCTTCCCAGGCCACACGCAGGGAGCTGGATGGGAAGTGAAACAGCCGGGACACAAACCAGTGCTCATATGGGATCCTGGCGCTCACAAAGTGAGGATTTTAGCCACTGAGCCATCACACCAGGCCTGAGCTTCAACGTTTTTAATGTTCAGTGTTTTCCAAAGTGTTGCTTGTGTGTTTCCTTTTTCATTTAATTATTTAACCCACTGGGACTTCATCCTTTATATTCACTTTTTTCACTCATCCCAGATCCATTTATTGGACTGACTTCTCTTTGCTGCTCATTGGAAATGCTGCCGTGACTATAGAGTAGAACCAGGATCCATTACTACTTGGATTTGTAATGATTATGAATTTTTAAAAATCATTTTTCTTTGATCTACCTTTCCTTTTGCTTGTGCTACACAATTTCAATTATTGTAGCCTTAGACTATACAGTGTGTCCTCCATGTCCATGGACTTGGTATCTGTGGATTTAACCAACTGCGGATCGAAAACTGAAAAAAAAAATTTTTCATCTGTATGAAAAATATACAGATTTTTTCCTTGTCATTATTCCTTGAACAGTGCAGCATAACAACCATCTGCATTGCATTCACACTGCATCAGGTATTAAAAGCAATCTAGAAATGATTTGAAGTGTAGAAAGGATGTCTGTAGGTTATATGCAAATATTGTGGCATTTGATGTAAAGGACTTGAGAATTCATAGATTCTGGAGTCTCGGGACAAATCCTCCACAGACACCAAGGGATAACTGTATTTAGAATACATCAGCATTCTACATGAGGTGATAATCTGACATTTTTGCATCAAGATTTCCTAATTCAAATATTCTACATTTAACAATCCCTAGAGTGGTCACTGTACAAGACTCAGTGCCTTCTGCTCATCTCCTATGTGTATGCATGCCTGCACGCGCGCGCGCGCACCACACACACACACACACACACACACACACAGCCTCCCTGCCCTCATTCCCTGCTCCGCTCCAATACCAGGGCTGCTCCAGCCTTGGGGACTTTTTCCCTTGCTCCTCCTTCTGCCCCGAGCTGTCTGCCACTGCCACTGTCCAAGCACTCGGCTTGCTCCTCACTTCCATCAGTCTCCGTCCAAGGCTCACCTTCTCGTCACCTGTCAGTCAGCCTTGCCCTTGGCCTTCGCTTCACCCTGTTTTATTCTTTTCCACTTTGCATGCTTCAGCAAACTCAGGGTTGTACAGATTTATTTATTGCCTACCTCACTCCTTCTAGAATGTGTACTAATTTAGAGCCAGAACATTTGTCTCATTTGTTCTTACACGTGAAATAGTGCCTGGCAGATAATTAATACATAAATCAGAAAAGAAATATTAACAAATATTAGTAGAATGTATAAATGCATTCTAACTCTATGTCCATAGCAAATCTTTGTATCAATTCTGCCTACTTTTGATACTACTGGCAATTTGAAAAAGAGCGACAGAGAAAGAGACCTTTTGGTTCGTTGGTTTTTTTCCCCAGATGATTACAGTGGCCTTTGCTGGCCCAGGTTAAAGCCAGGAGTCTGGAATTCTGTCTGGGTCTCCCACAGTGTGTGGCAGGGACTCAAGTACTTAGTCCATCCTCCACTGCTTCATCACATGCATTAGCAGGGAGCTGGATAGAAAGCAGACAAGCAGAGATCCAACACTCCATTCTATGGGATGTTAGCACAGTAGATAGTGTCTTAACCTACTGCACCACAACACCAGCCTCACTTATGGTGATATTCTTGTTGTTGAATTGTAACCTTCCCCTACTATATTTTCTAAGTGATTATCGTTGATTCATAGGACAGCTTTTGATTAATATACTTGCACATTTATTTTTAACCGATCCCCTATTGCTCTTACTATTTCTGATAGGTTCTTAGATTATTCTCTTGGGATTAGACAATCTTCTAACTACAAAAATGACATTCAGTCTTTTTTTTTTCTTATTGCATTGACTAGGACCTTTATGATATTTTAGCAATAGTAAATAATGGACATTCTTTCCCTATTTCTAAGTTTACATTAAAGCTTCAATATTTAAAGGAAAAGAATATGAGACATTGATTTGAAATTAATATTGATTTGAACATAATATTGGAGAATTATTTGGTTCCTCTTCAGCTTAGAGCTTTACAAACAAACAAAATGATGCTGTGGACATCGTCATGTGCCTTCCTGGTACCTATCTTTGTTTTTACATAAAAATTCATTGTTTTGGTGGTAGGGAATAAAGCAGTTCCCTGCTCCACTTTCAACCACCTGAGGTTATTCGTCTCTTGTGTGTTTTCCAGAATTTTCCACATATGTACAAGTGTATACATGTATGGCATGCCCCAGCGCTTTTTCCTTAAGTGGAATACAGAGTAAACATTTTTCTAGAATTTGCTTGTTTTTTCTCTTAAAATATTGGATATCTTTCCATACTAGCATGAAGGTATTTCAAAATTTCATGGAAAATGGAATTCAAGCAGAAGTTTATTTTAGTGTAAAAAGTTTTAAAATCCACACATGTTTTCCTCATCCACATTTTCTGTGGACGTCCGGCACACCCCCTCATATCCCTACTGCATACTTTCAATGAGTTCATACTGTTTCATGGTGGGTAATTATTTACTCAAACCTTCATTAATGGGTATTTGTGACCAGGTTTTTATTTTTCCCTTAAAAATCTTGCTGCAAGGAAAATACTTCTATTTGTGTCTCTGTGCACTTGGATAAATATTTCTAATGATTTGTTTCTAAAGTTATAATTTGTTTGAAAAGCAGAAGGACAGGGACAGACAAAAGGCCTTTCATAAGCTAGCTTACTCTCTTCAAATGTCCCACAATAGCTAGGGCTGGGCCAGGCTGAAGCCAGGAACCCAGAACCCAACCTGAGTATGTTCAGATGGAGGCAGAGACCCAAGCACTTGAGCTATCGCTTGCTGCCTTCCAGGCTGCATGTTAGCAGAAAGTTGGGATTGAGAACAGAGCCAGGTCTTAAAACCAGGTATTCTGATGTGGCATTAGAGTGTTATAACCACTTTGCTGAATACCTGACACTCTAATGCACTTCTCTATCCTATTCTTCACTTGACTTCCATGAAGGAAATCTTTTATATTGCCAATTCCTAGAATAAGCACAGAAGTCAACTAAAACTTACTTCTATGTCTTAACAAGTAAAAGCAACACTAACACAAAGGTGATACTTAATCCTGTGGCATCTATATTGTAGTTTTAAAGTCACATTCAACCAATATTGATTCACTATTTTCCTCTATTAAAGCAACCTCAGTTAAAGAATCAAGAGCTTTCAAGTCTCCCACCTTAAGGAAAAGGCAGTGAGATTCATGGATTTTCCAGTCATATTTAACAAATGTTGATGTTTTCCAAAATCGGTACTTTGCTTTAGGGCAAGCAGTATTTGCATCCTCTAGCTAATATGTATGTTTTGCAGCTAAAGACAACTGAGGATTTGTCATTCTTTGAACACAACCATACTTTGCAGAAATCAGCTTCAGTTTCTCCTACGAAGGTGACAAAATGAAGCAGTAAATTCAAGAAGCTGCCATTGCAAACCTCTGTCCTTGTGACCGAGGAAGGGACATGAGCAACCCTTTGTAACCACCTTACCAACCCTGCTTCCCACCAGGCCAAGGAGCAGTCATTGTCTTTTGGGTCAATAGCACATATGTATACTTTCTTTAAATCGAATACAAGAACAGTAAGGCTGATAAGCACTTTAGTGGGCTGATTTTGATTATAGGCAGGGCATGACTGTTTCCCATTCAAAGTTGTTTTAATCTCTGCTTATTGACCAGGGCATCTTGCACAAATCCCAGATGCTATGAACTCCTGGGATGCCTCTCACCTGATTTTATAATGCAAAACTGAATGAGTAGGACCCTCAGGGGGAAGATCTCTCCCAGTTATGAGTCACTTACCTGCTAATCCCCTTGTAAACTGTAGCGTAAGAGCCTTCACCCAGCTTCTCCAAGTTCAAGTAGGATGAGGCTGCCCCAAAAGGGAGGCTTTTTCTCTGCTTTAGGATAAATGGGAGAGGTGAAGGATGGGGAAGAGAGAATACATTTTTCTTTAGCATTGACTTTTTTTTTAATCCCCAGGGAAAGTAGAAATCGTTGAGAGAGTGCATTTGAGAAGCCAGCTCAGCACTTGCCCCAGGAGTGACAGCCCAACTCCCTAGGCAAGTACACTTTGAATTCTTGATCAACATCAGCTGCTCACTCACCCACAGAAAACTCTGCCTCAGATCCTCTTCCTGAAAAGAATCACTGTTACTGCGTGGCCTTTTACTCTTGAACTTCCGGGCCTGGGCGGTAGGCAGTCCCCTGGGGTGAAATGAAGTCATGGAGCGCGACTCTTCTTTTAGGTCTGTTAGCTAGCGCAAAAGGAAAGAGCAGGAATAAAGTATATGCAAAAATCAAGATTCAGAGGTTTGCACACCATTTTTTCTTCATTTGCCTTTCACTCCTCATATATTTTCTAACTTCCCTGCGTCCCCACAAAAGGCACCTTTTAGGAAAGTCAGATTTTTTTAAAAAGATCGTTAACAGCATCAACTGCTAAAACACTGCATTCTTGCGTCTGCTAAAAATATGTCCTAACACAGGTTAACCTAGATCTCTTTGATAGGTATTTTCTGATTTCTCTCAACTCTTATTTTTTTAGGTCCACTTAATTTATCGCTTTAGGGGAATGATCTTCTAAGCATGGCATTGCTGATAATCATGAACTAATTATCCAGAGTTTGAATCTGTAGCACACCAACCAGCTCTTGCCTTTTGGCGTTCAGCTTAGAGACTACAGGGGAAAAACTACTTTTTCAGCTTCATCTCGAGTGAATTTCATGCAGCCCAAAACCAGGGAATATTTTCCCCTTTTGGTTTACAAGCAAATCCCCACATTTGATAACTACAGCCATAAATTCTCTACAACTTTAATAGAATCTGCTTTTTATGGGTTTAGGCCCACCACAGCAGAAGTAGACCTCACTCCAGACCATCTGAACTGGCTTTGTCAATAGATAAAGATGCTCCTCTTGGATACAAATACCTCCAGCGCAGTCTCCATCGTCACGGGCTGCTGAGTCCTCCGGCAGCCGAGTGCCTTGCCTCCCTCGGAACAGCAGTAGCAGCTGCATCCTGGCTGCAGGGTCTTTGCACACAGCTCTTGACCCATAATCTTCTGGGTTCAAGGAGAAAACTCGTGCTTGAACTTCTCTCCCTCTGCCTCTCCTGTCCTTGCTTGCTCCCTTTTTGCTAGAGGTCAGCACTGTGGAGCTTTCATATGACTCACACAAGGGCTCTGTCTGGAGCAGCCCTCATGACTTCAGCAGTTTTTCCTTATCGGTGCAAGAAACTCTCCATCAGAAAGGCAGCTGCTTGAGATCGCATGTGCACAGCTGAAAACACGGCAGCCAAGACGGGACAGAGCAGAACTTGGCCGGCTAAGGGCCCCCTTCCACCCCGAGCCAGTGCCGTTGGTATACAGCGCTGGGAATTTACATTGCTCTTCCATGCAATGACATTTACTGGCTATCATTGATAATGATATTGGTACTTATTAGGCTTCCCTGGTACTGAAGTGGACACTTTGGGGGCTATTTTCTCCCTGCCTTTCATCTGAAAGCATTTTGGTTCCCAGGTTTTAAAACAAATTTGCAACCTTGTCAATTTTAGCAATCAAAGAAACCACAGACTCATAAAAGAGGAATAGTGCTGAAAATATTTGCTCCTCTTTGCTTCAAGCAACAGTGCATCTAATAGTTCTAGAGGAGTAGTCATTCGATCATTTATTCAAAATGTGAGAGTGAGCACCTATGTTACTCTTACCCAATGGAAAACAGTATTAGCTGATGGTGGAGAGTGAAGTTTTTTTCGCTGCTTTCTCCTGCCTTTCTTCTTTCCATGTAATTAATGCTTTCTATATGAACCATACGAGGTCAATAGCATGACATGTCAAGAAATCTGCCTCCAACTGGCTTGCAGGTTGAGATTTTTGAGTAGAACTTCTTTCTCTGATATACTTTTGAAATTGCCACTCTAATATACTAGTCTTGAAGTGAGACAGAACATGGGATATACACATACATACATATACACACACACACAATCATTTTCAGTAGGAGGAAATATAAGAGTCATGTCTGTTATAATAGTATTTATGGATAGTTGCTATCTAACCTTACAATACTTTTCAAAAAGCTTTGAGATAATTTACTTAGGGACATATATTTAAGTTTATTTTCAAATTGCTACAAGAGACTGAAAACAAGTCAATTCAAAGATTCTCTCAAATCAGAGACATTGACAAGGATGCGAATATCCAGAATATATAAGGAACTAAAAATACTCACCAAAAAAAATCTAGTTAAAATTAGGTAATAGATCTAAATAGACATTTCTCAAAGGAAGACATACAAATGGCCAACAGATACATAGCAAAATGCTCAACATAACTAATAACTAAGGAAATACAAATCAAAATTACAATGAGAGATCACCTGTATCCAGTTAGGTTGCCTATTATAAAAAAAAGACAAAAAATGTGTGGATGAAGTTGGGGAGATAAAGAGCCCTTGCTTGCTATTGGTGAGTAAGTAAATCAGCGCAGCCATTGTGGAAAACAGTATTGAGGTTTTTCCAAAAATTAAAAATAGAATTACTGTAAGACTTAGTAATGCCACTACTAGATTTATTCAAGGGGAATAAAATCAGGCTGTCAAGGAGACATTGGACTCCCATGTTTATTGCAGCACTGTTCAAAACAGCCAAGAATGGAAACATCTAAGTGTCCATCAACTAATGAATGGAAAAAGTAAGGTATATATTAATAGTCACAATGGAAAATTACTCAGCCATTAAAATGGATGTACTCCTGTCATTTGCAATGAAAGATAGAACTGGAGTTCATTATGCTAAGTAAAATAAGCCAGGTATAGAAAGATAGGTCTCATATGACCTCACTCACATGTGCATTCTAGACAAGTTGATCTCCTGGAAGTTGAAAATAGGGTGGCACTTACAACAGGCTGGTGGAAAGTAACAGGTCAGGAAGCATTGTGGAAGGGTTGCTGATGGAGACAAGTGAGTTAGACAGGATGAATAGGTGCTGGTGTTCCACTGCACATTAGGAGACACAGATAACAACAATGAGTTGTATTTTTTTTAACCCCCAAAAGCTAGAACAGACAATTTGGGCTATTACCATAAAAGATGATAAATGTTTAAGAGGATAGAGGTTTTTACATTAATTTGAATATTTTACAAAGTATAGATGTATCAAGATACCATGTAATTTCCCTTAAATGTGTTTAATCTTTATGAATCAGTTAAAATAAATATAGAGTAGGTGTTGTGATATAGGATGTTAAGCCTCTGCTTGGGACCCCCATCCTGTACTGGGGTGCTGGCTTGAATTGAGGCTACTCTGTTTCCAATCTGGATCTCAGCTAATATGCCTAGGAGATAGCAGATGATGGAGCAAGTACTTGAGCTCCTTCCAGCCCACATAGAAGAACCAGATGGAGTTGCTGCCTTCTGACTTCAGCCTGGTGAAGCCTTGAATGTTACACACATTTGGGAAGTAAATCAGAAAATGGAAATTCTGCCACCACGTCTTTCAAATAAATAAATCTTTTGCAAAAAAAAAAATGTTAAGGACATAAATAGAAAAAAGAAGAGCTTAATTACTTTAAAACAAACATATTTGTCTTAAAGATTATTATGCTTTTGGCTGATGGACAATGTTATGATGTGGTTTGTCTCTAACAATTCATGTGTTAGAAACTTGGTCACCAGCATGGCAATGTTGGAGTGCTGAGAACTTTTTAAAATATATTTATTATTTGAGGTAGAGGAGTAAGGACAAAAAGATACTTTCCGAACCATTGGTTCACTTTTTTTTTTTTTTTTTGGAAAACTTATTTATTTTTATTGGGAAGGCAGATATACAGAGAGAGGGAGTGACAGAGATCTTCCATCTACTTTCACTCCCCAAGTGGTTGCATTGGCCAGAGTTGAGCCAATCTGAAGCCAGGAACTTCTGGGTCTCCCATGCAGGTGCAGGGTCCCAAGGCTTTGAGCCATCCTCTACCTCTTTCCCAGGCCACAAGCAGGGAGCTAGATTGGAAGTGGATCAGCTGGGACAGGAACTGGTACCCATATGGGATCCCAGCAGATACAAGGCAAGGATTTAGCCACTAGGCTATTGCACCAGACCTGGGTCACTTCTTTAATGCCTCCAGTGGCTAGGGCTGGGCCAGGCCAAGGCCTAGAGCTGTAAATCAATCCAGGTCGCTCACAAGGAGATCCCACTTGACCATTAGGATGCTGGAGTTGGGAACAAGGAGCTGAATAGCAGACGTAAGTACTCTGGTGTGGGATTTGAGCATCTTAAGCACCAAGTTCAACACTCACCACAGTAGTGGAACTTTTAAGAGGTGGAGCCTAGTGGGTGGCAGTCACATCACTGGAATCACTGCCATTGGAAAGCATGGATATTGGTCACAAGTAGCAAGTTACTTGTTCATTTAAGGGTGAACTGTTACAAAGGAGCACACCTAGTACATGATGCTCTGTGGCATTTTGTCACACTATGCAGTCTCTCCCTCTGGCCATATGGCCACCTATTGTGACACAAGAGCAACCAACAGGACCTACACCAGAGGCCGAGTCAGATGGGGGTCGCCTGTCCTTGGACTTTCAGCCTCTTCAAGTGTGAGCTAAATAGATGCCATTGCTTACAAATCACCAATGTCAGGTGTTTTTCTATTAGCAATGCAAAATGGACCAAAACAATCAATTAACCACAAGAGTGAGAAGCTGGTTTCTGAGAGTATTTAATTCCATTATAATTTATCAAACACTGGTTATCATAAATGCTAATTTATTCCTAAAAGGAGATTATATTTCCATGCAAATGTTATATACCAGATCAGGTTTACAGTATTCTTTCACTCATTCTTTTTTTTGTCTTCCAAATGCCCGTGAAAACAAGGGCTGGTCCAGCGCTAGCCTGGGATGTGGAGGCTCAATCTGGGTCTCTCATGTGGGTGGCAAGCACATGCTGACTATCAGCGTCTGCAATAGTAGCAGTAATGGTAGCTGGAGTCAGGACTAAAGCCCAGGCATTTCTGCCAATGGAACATAGGAGTCCTAAGTGGTATCTTAGCCTTTACATCCAATACTCACTGCAGGATTTTTCTTTACCACTTCCTAATTTTTTTTTAAGATTTATTTATTTATTTTTTTGGAAAGGTGGATATACAGAGAGGAGAGGCAGAGAGGAAGATCTTCCATCTGATGATTCACTCCCCAAGTGAGCGCAATAGCCGATGCTATGCCAATCCGAAGCCAGGAGCCTCTTCTGGGTCTCCCACGTGGGTGCAGGGTCCCAAAGCTTTGGGCCGTCCTCGACTGCTTTCCCAAGCCACAGGCAGGGAGCTGGAAGGGAAGTGGGGCCGCCAGGATTAGAACCGGCACCCATTTGGGATCCCAGGCGTGCAAGGCGAGGACCCTTAACCACTGTGCCATCGTGCCGGGCCCCCACTTCCTAATTTTCATCAAGTTTTAGAATTTTCAATTGGTCAACATTTTATTTTTTCAATATTTTCAATTGGTCAGCCCAGTGAATGACATGCTGAAGTCACAAGTATGCTAAAAGTGATACAAGAGTGGATTATAGTGGAGTAAGTAGCTAAATGCTCCTGAGAATTTTCAAAAATTTGGTAATTTGTAGTCACACTTTAGGTCAAGCAAAATCACCAAATGACTGCTTGATATATAGTCTAGCTGTGTGCCCAAAACAAGGCTTTAGTACTAAGTATTTCTCAGTAAAACTTAGATGGTAGAGACTTAGATGATTTCATTTCACCTTGTGAGTCTCTAAAGTCCAGATCGATTTGGGCAGACTAGCACCAGTGCCCTGTGCAGCTTTGTAGAGCGATGCCATTTCTGTCCTCCCAAACTCAGTGTGCTGGCTACCATCATCAGCATAGAATGGGGAACCCCCACTGCTGAGAGGAGGCCCTGGTGCCTGCCCACCTGCCTCAGTGGCCTCACAAGGACTCTGGATTCTTCAGCAACATCCGCCAGGGCTGCGTATTACAGTGCAGAAATGTGGAAGCCATTGGGGTGGTCCACCCTACAAAACCACCATGTTTGTTGTGGCAGCGTTTT